TCAGTCAAAATTCTCAAAAAACTCTGGCAGTGAGCGACTCTCTGTTCTGAAAATGGCTGGCAGTCAATGAGTTAATAATATAATTCTTTAAATCAAGTTGTGTGTGATTCTTGATGTTCCGTCCTGGGCTCCATGAGCGTTACCTATTTTTCTGATAATTGGTCCAATTTTTTCATTTGAAACCCAAATTTATATTAAATTCTTCATACAAGCAAAAAGGGGTTACATCATCATCATCATCATCATCATCATCATCATCATCATCATCATCATGTCTCATGTAAATAAATCTTCACGTTTAAAAACATTCCACTGAATAAAACAGAAGAGGGGATCTGGGTTTAAACTTTGAATTAGCAACCACATCAGCTGTCATCTTTTCTCTGAAATGATTGGCTGTGTGTGTCATCTAGACTGTGACCACTGGGTGATAACATGACCTCTCCTACCCAGCTGTAATGTAAAGTGTGTCCACCAAGAAGCTAGCTTCAGTTTCCGTGGCTTTAAAAAGCTCGGAGAGCTCGGCATTTCGTTCAGTTTCACTTTTCCCAAAGCAAATATATGGGCTGTGACCAGTACACCCAAAATGCAACATGGATTTCTTTATTCTGATTTAGTAGGAAGGGATAAAGAAAAAAAGCTTCTGGTGTAGAACCTTTAAATCCTGTAACGGGGCTCCAGTGGAGGGCGAGTCTGGTGCCAGCAGGCGCTGTAATTCCAACAGCGTATCTTAAAGTCGCTGCAGTTAAAAAGCTACATTTCCTCCGGTCCAGGCTCAGATAAATCAGGCCCCCCTTTTCAGCTTGTCACTTGTTCTTCAACTGGCAGGTGAGCTCCAGCCAAAGGAAGAATTCCTCATGCCCTGTAGTTAGTTAGGTTTGCAGGCCTCAGAAAAACCCCTCACACCTAAAATTTCAACCTTTAGTGCCCGCTTAGGGCGTTTTTAGATCTGTTTCCAGTGAAGTAGCGAGTCTTAATGTGACCATTTCAAGTTTGAGTTTTGGTGCGAGTCATCTTCCTGTTTTAGTTTTTTTTAATTCATGGATGGTGATAACTGAGGATCCAGCTGGCTGTTGACCTGATGCTTTCCTTTCAAACGCTCCTTTAAAGGAGAGCAGCAGGGTTTCTAGTGTAAAGGCTTTTGGGTGCAAACACAAAAATAACCCTACCAAAGTTTGAATGATGTTTATGCTCTTTTTTTGTTAAAGAAGGCAATTATGCTCGGTTTAATTTGTTAAATTTTTTCCTTCAGGGGATGGTCCGAGTGCCTGCTCCCTGCACGTTTGCCCACAGGTGGCTATTTTGGTGGCACGGAGAATTCACAGTGTGCCCAACGAGCAACTAAACAACTACCTCTTGTTAGCACCGCTGTACAGTGCTAAACCCGACCCAGCCTCTCCCCCCAACCACCGCAGGCTGCACTCTGATTGGCTGATTTTCACCTGAAGCATCTCGGTGCATTTTGGAATGCATTCCATTGAGCTGTCTTCATAGAAAAGAAAGTATGCGAAAGTATATGATGGAAAAAACCTCCTCCTCCCCTGTAGCTGCAACACGAGCAAGCATGAACACAACTCCCCATAAACCCAAGACAGCCTCTGAGCACAGAAAGTCATCAAAGCCAATAATGGAGAAGAGGAGAAGAGCCAGCATTAACGAGAGCCTGGCTCAGCTAAAAACCCTCATCCTGGATGCTCTCGGGAAAGCTAGCTCCAGACACTCTAAACTGGATAAGGCGGACATCCTGGAGATGACGGTGAAGCATCTCCAGAACCTCCAGAGGGCTCAAATGACCGCTGCCCTGAACACCAACCTACAGTCCTGGGGAAATATCCAGCTGGTTTCAATGAATGGTCTGTGGACCTGCCATTCAGCCAGGACACCTTTAGTGATCTCTGGAACAATGCTATCACCCCAAATGTCTCCTTCATCCCCACATCAGAGACTGGTCCTCAGGGACCTTGGGATGAAAGATGCATGCTGGACAATGACCTCACATTTGATGCAAATCGTTTTGAGCTGGGTGGTGATATGGCCATAAAAGATGGCCCCTGTGCATGCACCGTCCCCGTAACTACAGACTATCCCGGAGATTTAGGTTTTCAGCTTCGCCACATCCATTAAATTAACATTTTCCTAGCTTCTGAATAAGCTCTACTGCCAGCTTACAAAGACCAGCCCCATAGAAATTCTGGTCACCAAGAATACCCAAACAGGGGCCGTTCTCAGGGCCACAGCCATCTACAAAAAGACCGAGCATGAGGGCGGAGTTATGAGACGGTGTCCCCACCAAAATGGCAAGTATGGGGAAGTTAAAAGGTGAACGTAAAAGAAAGAAAGAGGGAAGACATGGAGGAGGAAGAGAATGAGTCTGTGGACCTGCCGTTTAGCCAGGACACCTTTAGTGATCTCTGGAACAATGTTATCACCCCATATATGATATACCTATTTCTTTTGCATGTTATTCAATAAACAGGAGGGAAATGTTAGAAATGTGTTGTTTTCTCATGACATGTCTTGTGTCTCCATTTTCAGTCACACTGAGTTGAGGCTTTCCATCAAGCCCAAACACATTTACTTAATCCAAATGTTAACCAGGCTGTTCAGACCAGGAGACTCAGATTTTCAGATGTGTTACACCTGATTCTCCAGGATCGGGATGGATCTCAGGTGTGTATTCATTGTCAGGGAAGTAGGGTTGGGTTTTTAACTTGTTGTGTTGCCAATAAAATTGTGTTTTTAATTCAACGGTGTTGCGTTTTTATTTGTGTGAATCTGTGGCTGGCTCCAGGGTTTGTCCTTTAATCATTTTGTGCAGCTTTTGTACTTTTTAATTAAATTAAATAAAAATATTAAATAAAAATATGAAAATAATCCCCCATTTATAATAAACTAAAATAACAGACAAAACATAGTGCCTCCCTTGCTAGTTTTGGACTGGTTTAGGTCTTCATCAGGCTGGCGGCACAAGTGACAGAAGCAGAATGAGCTCTGGAGCTGCCCACCAAACTTTCAGCTCCTCCCACCCAACTTTCCCTCTGTGTGTTTCTCCTTTTCCCTTCAACTTTTAAATGGCCCTTTTTATGATTTACACTCATTTTAGCTTACTTTAACTTAATTTTTAGATTATCTCTTTTGACTGTAACCCCCTCCTCTAATTTCCCTTAATTTTCTAACCATTAATATGATTTTTTATAATGCTTTTTCCTAATTTTCCTTTTTTAACCTTTGACCCTTGACCTTTTGTCTTTCTCCTTTGACCTCTCCTTCATCCCTCATCTGTTTCCTTCTTCCCTCCTTCCAGCTCCTTAGCCTTTCCTGTATCATCCTACTTTCTTCCACCTAGAACATGGCATTTCTAGGTAACTTGGGCTATTTAGGCTCCTGTTTGGGCTCCATGGACACTGTGGCTCCGTCAGTTCGTGGGCTCTGGTTCATTTGTCCTATGTTCTAGCTTCTGTCCGATTCTGAGTGGTTGGGATCAGGGTGGCTCTTGGGATTGGGGTCTGGGGGTAGTGCTGAAGTAAAGGGTGGGGGGTCCAACTAGGGTTAGGGTATGTTTGGTCATGGTTAGAATTAGGGTCAGGGTTAGGATAAGGGTCAGGGTTAGGATAAGGATCAGGGTTAGGATAAGGATCAGGGTTAGGGTTAATTGAGTAGTGGGAGGATTCAGATTAGTGCTAGGGGATTCCAGTTGTGGCCAGGGTTATAATTAGTGCTGAGGGTTAGAGGATTAACTGGTGAAGATCAGTGTTAAGTAAAATTATGATTTCAAGATGTCCATCTTACGGGCATATGAACTGCTCCCTGAGGCCTACAGAAAAAAAACGTAGAAACCATAAGAATGCCCCATGTCAGGGAGGTGGGTCTTGAAGGAGGACTCAGTTGCGGAGATGAGGGAAAACTAGGTTTATTTTAACAAAACTGTGAAAGTCCAGACATGAGTACGAATCAAGGCTGTGGGCAAAGTAACAAAGCAAACAAGACTGTGGAAAAACTATGACAAAGTAACAAAATAAAGATTAACCAAAACTGTGACAGGACTGTGGAAAAAACAAACCTGGCGTGGGGGAGACGAAGGACAAGACGGACTTGAGACGAAAACGCACTCGCGCCAGACAAGGGGAAACAGGACTATTTAAACACAAGAAGGAGGGAAACCCCAGGTGTACACAATAGGTAATCAAGACGAGACGAGACACCAGACGTGACACCCCAGCACAGACTTATGTGGAGTTTGTGAGGGAAAGGGAACCTCTTTGATAAGTGGTCTCTCCTCAGAGGTTGTAGATTTTGTAATGATTTTTATGCTTTGAATCCAGAAACCGTACTACGTGGTCTATGTGTGTTTCTTAACCCGTGTTCTATGAACCCTAAGGCTTTGATGAGTGGGTCTCAGGGGCTGGGCGGAGCCTCTGCTGGAGCTAAAGACACACTTGTGTAAAGTCCTGATGACACGCCCCGCTGGGCCGTCACTGGCTGCAAAGGGTCACGTTACGCGCTAGTCAACGGCTGTCCCAGTTGTACGTCGTCTGGTTTCTTTATCAATATCTAAATCCATACTAAATATGTCCAGCAAAAAAAGACGAATATGTACAACATGGATTCAGGTGTATCAGGGAACGGGATGTGAGTCAGCGTCCTCTCTGACAAGTTGAGCAACTCTGGTCTCACACCGGTAAAACTAAAGGAACACTTCTTATTTTGGCTCTAAAAAAGGATTTTGTGGATTCAAAAACACAAAAAACATATTCAATAAAAAAAAGTAATTATTAGTAAAATAGTTTTTTTTTAAACTGGAAGCTGAAAACATTCAAATTCGCAACATCAGGTATCAAAAACAGGGTTGGACATTAAAGAGCATAAAACTAACTTAAAGCAGAGTCAACAGGAAGACTGACAGCTACTGCCAAAGACAGACAGAGACAGAACAGTAGATCCTCCACAGCTCTGAAACACTTTCTGCTTTGCTGTCCTCAGGGACTAAGTGGAGACAGGTGTTCCTCATTTCAGGCTAACGAGCTATAATGAGACTCTGGCATAGGTGTCTGAAGCATTGAATGAATTAATCAATGGTGTTTGTGATGCTGCCGTCCAGGGCGACCCCGCCCCTCCCCATTGGCTGCCAATGAAGGAAGAGGGTAGCTGTGGGCACTTTATCTGACTGGAGCTGATCAGAGACTACGGAAGTGGAGAAAATCAATTGATCAAATCATTTTCAGTTATATAAGTTAGTCTTTAAGCATCCAGAGGTGGGGGTGTAGCTCAGTGGTAGAGCATTTGACTGCAGATCAAGAGGTCCCCAGTTCAACTCTGGGTGCCCCCTTCTTTCTGAAATGTACTGAATACTGTGATTCTATCAGACAGGGTTGTGTGGATGTGTTCCTTGGTGCATTCTGACCAAACCTTGGGGAATGAGGTGAAAATGAAATGTTCTTCTTCCTCTTTTTGGACACTTTGACCTGCAGCACAGGAATGGTGGTTGACAGCTCAGTAACTGTTCATTAGTGCTTGATCCCTGCTTGAGCATTCCTCCAAGCAGTGAACAGTTAAAGCAAAGGGAGCTTGTGGAAGGGACGTGTGTTCTGAAAAGAACAACAGAATGTGTCAGAACAAGCTAAATCTGCATCTGGAATGTCTGAACATTCTGTGTTCTTTGATATGTCAGAACTGAGAATGACCAACGGCAATCATTCTAGAAGCCAATCTCTGACATTCAGACACAATTTAGAGAGCATCTGTCTTCAGGATTTAAGCACGTTTTTAACGTATGGAACCAATTTTAAAAATAAAAGACAGCAACAACACAAGCAAGGGAAGCAAACTGTCAGAAGTGGAATTTGAACCCACATGTCCAGGAGAGACTATGATTGTGGGAGCCATCTTGCACTTTTACTTTGAGTAGTGGTAATTCTGTTGATTTGTTTGTTTATTATGAATTTGTTTACATTAGTGATAGTTTCATATTTATGTATTAATTGTAGTATGTGGTTTTAGACACCTGGGGGTAGTGGTGCGCACAGGTAAGGGTGGATATAGGTAGGAAGTGGCACTACACCTGTATCCACCTGGATAGTGGACACATGGTTTTTTACCAGCGCAAGAGATTTGTTTGCTCACCTGAAACAGCAATAAACCAGCCTCAAGGACAATTCTGCGTGGAACTTAAATAATTTTTCTTGCCTGCGTACGATACCTGCCCAGGGTGCCAAAAGTTGTCGTTTGTTTTATTGTAAGCTTAATTTGATCTTCGTTAAAAGTTTGTTTGACAAACAGCTACTACAATGATGTTAACACAGGTTCAACATTCATCTCCACCCAGTGGATCCTGTAACCTGTGGTTCATTTTCTAACCCCGTCCACATGGCACACAGGTCTGGGTTAGATCTGGCGTCAAGCCAGCTCTGCTGGTCAGCTGTTGGTATGGTGAGAAGTGGACCAGGTCTGGCAATGACATTTCACCAGTGGCCCGATTTTGGTTTTGTATATGTGTCTGTTTTTATGGCATGGATTTGATGTTCTAATGTAAATCACAAAGATCTAATTCAACCTTTAGTATGTCACACACCACCACAGTACACACAGTTCACTTTAGGCTTTATTCAGGCATCAGAACCTGTCCAGGATGTACCCAGCTTTCACCGAATGTCAGTTGGAGGTCCTGACATCTGCATCAGCAACTTCACATCCAGTTGCCCAAACTGAATTTTTCAAGCTTGACCATGACCGGGATGACTGAGAATCTTCACAGGCATCAGCATCTAGTGATTTTTCAAGGTGGCAACCAACAAACCTGACTGAAATGAAAGGGTCTCTGCAGAAACCACACAGCAGGTGAAAATGGCTCAGCAACAGCTGAAGTAAAATGTTTGGCATATTGGTTGAGATCCTCGGGAATTTCTGCAGTTGCATTGTTGAGAGCATCAAAAGGAATCACTGTGTGATGCAGCAGTGTCACTGTCATAGAACAAAAATGCAAATTGTTTTAAAATTATCTATGGCAAGAGGAAAAGAAAAAAGTAAAAGAAAGAAATGGGCAGAATGGAGGATGGAGTGCTTTCATAACTCTTTCATAACTCTACCACCTTCTACACATCGTACTCTGGAGCAAAGTAAGAGATGCATTATACCCAGCAGACCCACTCCTCTGTACATGGGACCACGTGGCCTAATGGATAAGGCATCTGACTTCGGATCAGAAGATTAAGGGTTCAAGTCCCTTCGTGGTTGACTTGGTAACCTTATGTTTACAAGTCCCAGTTGCTAAAAGCCTAGATTTGAGGCTCCTGATTTGTCATGTGAAATAGCAGACATTCAACCACT